CGCAGGCGGGTACCAATTTTTCTAATGAAATACGTACTTAACAAATGTTCACGATTGACTTCCACGGTGAAGGAATAACATCGTGTAATAAAAATCAAACCCGCAAAATTACAATTTGCGTAATTACTGGTGGTAGGACCTCTTGTGATTCCGCACGCAGCCGTTGTGACAATACTGAGACCTTAGAACTATATCTTAAGGTGTGTGGCGCATTTACGTTGTAGATGTCTATGGGCTCCAGTAACCACTTAAGACCAGGTGGGCTGTGAGCTCGTCCAAACATCTAAGCATAAAAAAAAAAAACATAGCAGATTCGTGTCTCCAAGTGTTGATGATCCGATCGGTCCGGTGAGCTATGCAAGCAGGTCCAGGAAGCGCGGTCTATCGGCTGCGATGGACCAGTTAAGGCTGTAATGCTAACTTGGTATGGAACGATCTTTATTGATGGTTTATGTTAAACTGGAAGATTGCGAAAACTGCATTTACGTTGATGGCGCGCTGACAGCGTAAGTGTAAATGAATAGGTGTTATAATTATTTCGTCTCAAACCAACGACAGCGAGAAGATCTATCGTGCTTGTACGGCTACTGTGTGCAAAGTTTTCTTGAAAATGTCATTAATGCTATTCAGATCATGTAAAATATTTTCTTTTACAATTTAAAATATAATGTAGATCTTAAATTATCTGTGTCATCATGTACATATTTTTAAATTTGGAACGTGCAAGCTCTAAGTCTGTTGCTAATTCTTCTTGTCCAAATTGCATGCGGAATCGTTGAAGTCATGATAGATTGAAAGCCCAAGCAAAAAAAATATTTTAAATATGTAACAGAATACTTTTTATTTATTTATTGCATAGATGGGTGAACTAACTCAAGACCTACTTGGAAGTGGCTAACGAAGTTCATAGACAACACTACATCAATGTCGCCGCCCAGTTTGACAAATGAGGTTTAAGCCTCATAGCATAGTATAACGATAACTTAGTACAATTTTACCTATTACTTAACATAATGTTACCAGTAGTTTCTTCATAAACTTCTGTATTTATTTGTTATCCTCTCTCTACTCTTCAATCTATGCAACAACAAAAAGCTATCATTGTTTACGAACTGGTGTTCTTTTGGTTTGTCACTGTTATATGCAATTAGTGTACTTTATTATGCTTTTTATTCTTATTTTATTCAATCTCACCTGTCGCTAAAAGTTTAAAGCTAATTATGATAACGTGGAGTATATTTATCACTGTCACAGATTCACCTGTGTCCATCTTATTTTGTAAACGAAATTAGCCAAGTTAGTTCGTTAAGTAAGAATGATGGACATTTTGAGAGTCCCTGTACGTGAGCCCCGCATGGTTCTTCGATGTGATTGACACAACAATTCATTTTATTCAAATGATATCTGTCGCATAATTACTAAAGTTATATTTTGAGTTTGCTATTTACCATTTAAAATGAATCCGTTTCTTAGTGTTTATTTTTAAGAGAGTTTAGTCAGAATAGAAAAATGTTAAGATCTAGGTAAATTAAAACTATGTATATTCCATTTTTGATATTTTCCATATTCCAAGAAAATTTGATTAAGCTGGAGGAGGCCTATACCCAAATAGGGGTTCCTATCGAAGAAAAAGTTTGATGTAAGCAAATCAAATAAACAATATTAAAGAAAAAAGAAAAGTGTAAAAACTGAAAATAGATCAAAATGTAAAAATCATATTACTATATATTTAAGAATATTTACATGTAATACTTAGGTGATGGGAAATAAAAGGCTTTATTATTATTATTATTATTATATTCCATTTTTAGCTTATCAATATTTTAGTGTAGTCGAAAAACGTCTAGTCGTGTAGTCTAGTAAACGTGTAGTCTTCATCTTTGTTATTTAATATTCACGATATTTAAAGTTGTTAGTAAAATCCCATCACCGAGCGAACATTTATAGTACGAATTTATCAAAGGACAAACTCCAGTTCTGTGTTTGGTGTTTACATTATTTGAAACGGCCATCCGTGATTCGTATTCAATTTTTCCTGTATGCAAACAAAACAGATATCAGTTAGAAATAGTGAGTGAGGGTCGTTTTGTCGTCGGAAGTTTTTATACAGCGCAGCACGGCGTGGGGATACATAACGAGCACCTGCGGCCTCATCTACATAATGTGGACAAGTCGTTGAACTCTTACTGGACAGTTTTGAAGGTCCGTCTTTATTTACAAAAACCTAATTTTATATTTATTTCACTAGCTTATTTCTTTTATCTTATATTCAATAGTGGAATTAATTATCTTACAATTTTCGCGGATATAATTCAAATAAAAAAAAAGAATGTATGCACCAGTACGTGCCTGTATTAACGGCTCTAAGCTAAGCTTTTATCTCATGTTATGGGCTATGGAAATGTATAGGTGAGAGAGAACGAGTACATAAATGAATTTAAACTTCAGTTCATCATTTTAGTTTTATATTAAGTTAGTTTTTTTTTAAAGTAACAAGTAAAACTCACCCGTGAGTTGTTCTACGAATTACTTTTTAACAGACAGTTCTCTATGGCGTGAACTTTACGAAAGAGTTGCCGTATTTTATTTGCAAAAAAAAACACATACAAACACGCCCAGTATGCTAAGCTTATAGAAATTAATTAATAAAATAATATAATGTAATCCGCAACGTTACATGATACTTAGAATGTATAAAAAAACATTATTATCTGTTCGTTGTTATTCGAACTGTGTAACTGGTACTGATCGGATTAAATTGTAGGTTGGGACGTCTCAGGGCAGTGTTTTAAAGGCGTCTGGAGGGCCATAAAGAAAGTTGTGCCCTTAGCGGCAAATCGAACAACAAGTAAGTCGAATGAGACTTAAAAGTTTTGCAGTATACAGAATTGATATTTTATGAATCAACTTGACTATTTTGCAGTTGTTAGTTAAAAGAATGTCCATTGTTAAGGTTCACTATTTTTAGAAAATATTTTGAATAACATCAAATAATACTGAATAACATAAAAAAACTATTTAACTTAGAACGAATTTATAGTAAAATCGTTTAAGATTAGCATCAAATAAATTTTAAGTTGGCGGGATAATATTTTCACAATTTGTCCCTTTGCCCGATAAAGCATAAACAAAAGAAATCAAAAAACCTTCAAATATTTACACTTCGAGCGTCTATGTTTATCGACTCGTAACAAAAAAAGTGCTGCGAAATAAATGTAACAGTTCACAGCTCTCCTTTTATATCACACAGAGGATAAAACAAACAAATAAAAATGTTGTATCTTTGAGAGTTATTGAATCTACTTTTCTTCGGAAACGTATTGTGTCAATAATATTAGGAATAGCAAATATAATACAGTATAGCGTTGTTTTTATTCTAATTGTAGATTTCTTTTTCTATTTTCGGTACTAGACTTCGAAACTGACGAAACTAAAGAACAGTTTTAGCAGTGTATGTATGTATATATTTTATGTTGTTTGGTTCATCATATCCGCTACGGCTACAAAAAAAACTGCTTTTATTACTTTATAAGTGGATTAATTAACTTCTGACTTTAAATGATTGTAGAAACACAGACATCAATATGATATTATAGGACTTATTAAAATGAATTACATATTTCCGCTTGGATGTCTTAAGCCTTCGAAAATATTCAAAATCTAATCCCAGCAAAATTTACAACAAAAACAAAAATGTCACATTTAATGTGATTTAAACTTTCTGCTTGCAGCTTCTAGGTTCTATTTTAAGCGTACTAAGACCTTCTAAAGTTGTTTTAAGCGATTTTAAAGGCGATTGATACAGTCTACACGTGTCCAACGTAGCGGAGCTCTCATTAGTAGTGACAGGCGGTAGAAAAACCGGGATACCGCGGTCATTTCAATTAACGACTACGCGGTGTAATTACGAGCGGCGAAACCAACATCCGACATCGAAACCGCTGGTCATACATGCTGAGCTGCAGGAATGAAACCGACAACGATTTCCCGCAGCGGTGTAAATAAATTCATTTGTTAATAGAGGTACTTGTTTATTTTAACAGCGCGTTCTTCTAAGCAAAATTCAGTGTTTTTCGGTACATACTTAAAGTAGTTTTGACTGAACTATGCGTTGTACACACAAACATGTTCTACTTCAAATCAAACCCGCAAAATTATAATTTGCGTAATCACTGGTGGTAGGACCTCTTGGGAGTCCGCACGGGTAGGTACCACCGCCCCGCCTATTTCCGCCGTGAAGCAGTAATGCGTTTCGGTTCGAAGGGTGGGGTAGCCGTTGTAACTATACTGAGATCTTAGAACTTATATCTCGAGGTGGGTGGCGCATTTACGTTGTAGATATCTATGGGCTCCAGTAACCACTTAACACCAAGTGGGCTGTGAGCTCGTCCATCCATCTAAGCAATAAAAAAAAAAAAACTTCACGAAAATTCTAAATTCATGGTGAAAACGACAGTAAAATGAGTTCAAAAGTTGTAAAATAAAACAAACTAATCCGATCGTTGTCTATACTGCTGCAATTCGTAGAGACAGGTTTTGAATTTATTTATTTAGAAGGCGAATGAACCTGCGACCCTTCAGGTTGATTAGTGTCGCTTATGGACATCAGTAATGCCAGTACAGCACAGCCCCTGATTAGCTCTGAAGGCTCTCTATAAACTTAGTTTGAAGAAGGGCATTGGCAAAGTCAGTTCATTGCAGAGACAAATGGACGTTGAAAAGTGACTTTTTGTTACGTACAATTTTTTTTTTTTTTTTTTATTGCCTTTGTAGGCAGACGAGCATACGGCCCACCTGATGGTGAGTGGTTACCGTCGCCCATGGACTTCAGCAATGCCAAGGGCAGAGCCAAGCCGCTGCCTACCGCTATACTATACTATGGGCGGAAGTATTGGTTTTAGATAGTTGGATGTAATAGTAAAAGGAGCTGAGAGCGCTCATGTAACACTCCGTATAAATCACATAGGGAACTAAATTAACATCTTAAGAGCAGATGCTTCAAACGAGTTTTAATGACTTAAAGTTCATTACGTACAGTTATTTCTTATTTATTATTTATAGATAACAATTTCATGGTCACTTATAATTTTATGGGCGTGCATTACGATCTATTCAAGACTACGTAATCCATGCTTTGGTTAACGATAATTTCAGTTAATCTTTTAAGATGGGTTTATTTACTAAATTGACTAGATTTTGTTGTGTTTTATCACAGCTCTATGTTTATCATCGGCACAATTCGGTGTCGTCAGCATTCGCAGCGCATACCGCATCCGGTGCTGCTAAGAATAGTTTTCCAGTTGCGCATGCGCACAATTGATAAACTTTCATACTTCTTATACCTCTTTGCGGTTTTTCTGTTACACGTGCTTCTTTCAAATTCGTAATCACAATATTTGGGGCATCAATTTTGATCTGAAATAGAACAATGTAATATTATGTAATGAATGCGGTATGTAGTACAAGATTAGTCGTTTCGTCTTGTTAGAGGTCTTATGATATAAATGTTAAATGTTTTATGAATAATTTATTCCATTGATTGGTTTGCAAATCGTATAATTTAATTAAGATAAATTATACTTTCACAGTTAAAATATAATTAACTGATCTAATATATAGTTTTTGCGTACTTACAGCGCCTACTATAGAGTTGAGTTTCAGATCAGTGTGCGAGGTTACATCAATTTTTCCGGCTCTGCTTTCGAAGTAAATCGACTGAGGCGCTCTCAAATCTAACCCCCTCGTCAAAGATTCCAATCTTGAACAAAATTTGTTTATTTATATGTAACATCATACATGTTAATTTTTTAAGTTATACTTCTTTAAGCGCGTTATGAAAAATTGATGAGAGTGAAATTTTACGATGGGCGCGCACCGTGACACAAAATTAACAGAATGAAGTTGCCCACTAAATCGCTCATTACAATACGACCGACGTTACTTGGCGAGTCTGAATATAGCCGCAGGTGAACTTTCACGCATTCGTACACTCGTAAAAAAAGTGTTATTAGCATTCATTTTTAAGTAATATAAATGACAAAATTATTATTTAATATAATTCATACTAAATATTATTAAATTTTTAACGTTAAATATTTATTATTAATTATTAAATATTTAAAAAAAAAGAAATAAATTTAATAAAAATAAAGTATAACTTCTTACGCGCGTACATAAGTACACGCACCCTTTTTTATCAATGGTAGTCTTCAATGATTATATATCTTCATTATTTGAAATTAAGACATGTCAATATTGTGGTGAAATAAACTGGATCTAATTCTAGCAACTTTAGGTATTTGATCTCTGATGATGAAATCAGGCACTACACAAATACCTTTTTTTTTGGAGTAGTTTGTAATTGTGATATAACACAAGAGTACAGAAAAATAAATTGTTTTGTTCATTCCTATATCTATTTCATTTGTAAATGAGTAATAGAACGAAAACGATCAAAATACCTTAAAATACAGAATCTAAAGTCGTCGTGACCTAAACGTTAAGATGTCTAGCGAAATTGAATCAAGCAAAGCGAATGTGTCGGTGTTCAACTCCCGCAGCAGGTACCAGGTGTAATGAAATAGGTAATTTAATACATTTTTACGAATGATATCTCCATTGAAAGAATAACATCGTGAATTAAAATTAAAATTTGTAAAATTTATATTTTTCGTAATTATAGATGATAGGGAATATGCTCGCATGTGTAGGCACCACTCCTCTGTATATTTCTACAGCGAAACTAAAATGAGTTCTGTTTGCAAATATTGTTAATCGGACATATTCTACTTGCTACTAGAAAACATTACAGCTTGAATTATAGAATTGAGGCCTTAGAAGGCGAGGGCGTCATTCGCGTTGTCTATGAACTTCGGTGACTTGACATCAGATGGGCTGTGCACACTTTAATTCGTCTATACAACAAAAATATTATATTTTTGCTGAACTAATTTTCAAAATTAATATAGGTTAGCAATACTCAATGTGAAATTCTTTTCATAGTTTTGTTAAGCATGAATGATAATAAAGAATTTTCTACTTTTTATCCTACCTATGCTGATAGCCTTGAGAGGCTATTTCAGCTTCACCCTAACGTGTAGGTGAGCTCACGGGGCTCNATTCGTCCACACAACAAAAATATTATATTTTTGCTGAACTAATTTTCAAAATTAATATAGGTTAGCAATACTCAATGTGAAATTCTTTTCATAGTTTTGTTAAGCATGAATGATAATAAAGAATTTTCTACTTTTTATCCTACCTATGCTGATAGCCTTGAGAGGCTATTTCAGCTTCACCCTAACGTGTAGGTGAGCTCACGGGGCTCAAACCGGAGTGTTGCTAACACTGGCCTTAGCAAGAGCAGTGCTTCGCAGAATCTAACACTGGATCGGAAACGCGACCCACTGAGAAGATCCGGCAAGAAACTCGGTGGGCATTTTCTAAATGCTTTCTACTTAATACGTACTGTAAGTCAGATCCAGGAGGGGCCCGTACAAGAGGCACCTGAAGTGCAGTTTTTACTACTAAACCACCGATGCCGTCCACTGCAAATGTGTCTGCATACACTCTTACTTCTTCTTTAGAAGCACGAAAGACGTCACCTCCGCGAGAATCACGCACGTGAAAATTTTTACCACTAAACTCAATGTTGTCCCTCTCTAAAACATAAAATTAAAATTTGACTAGACCTAGACTAGACGAGACTAGAAAAGAAATATAAATTAGCAAGAACGAATTGGATCACATGGAAATATCCTCTCGAATCAACGACGTAGTTTCGTATCTATCAGGCTGCCAATCAACCTACTTAAGTATTACTAACTGACGAGGGTCTTTAAATAGCTGAAAAGTTTAAGGATAGGTTCTTAGAAGATACAACCCCTCTTTTATTGCTTAGATGGGTGGACGAGCTCACAGCCCACCTGGTGTTAAGTGGTTACTGGAGCCAATGCGCCACCCACCTTGAGATATAAGTTCTAAGGTCTCGGTATAGTTACAATAGTTACACTTTTCAAACCGAAACGCATTACTGCTTCACGGCGGAAATAGGCAGGGTGGTACCTACCCGTGGGGACTCACAAGAGGTCCTACCACCGTTAATAAAATTGAGTGCGAGACAGGAACAATTCTAAAATTCCATGACTATTTTAGTAAAGTGGATCATTTCGATTCCCTGTCAAAATCATAAAAACTAATCAATAACGTAATAAATTAATGAACGAGTATTAATAGTGTTAATTTTGTACTTACTAATTAACAACTTGGAATGTTCTGAATGTTTAGGGTCGGATACGAGTACGGTGAAGTTGCGGTGAGAGTGTAGCGTGATAGGATGAGCGGGTTGTGTTGATATTGTCGACGCAACTAAATTGTTCACGACCCATGTTTGACCTTGGAGCTGAATCCCGCCGTTCATAATTTTTATGGGACCGATGCCATTCTGTAAAATAACTTTTCAAGTTTATTAACTCATATTCATTTTCTTGTTCTAACTTAAAGTTCTTATTTTCTAAAACTATCCGAATATTTCTAAAATTAGAATATATGTTATTAATTTGTACAGCGTTTATTGGATAGTTAATGAATTTTTCGTCTGTGTGTTTGTCCTTTTATTTGATGATGATTCATATGCTTAATCACCATAGTAAATAAATATATAATTTATTGCATTATTTCTTTATAATATCATGTCAATGGCACGTGTATTTGGTTTTTAATTGTATCAATACAATGTAAAGTGTTGTATATTAAAAAATAATAAGTGACAAGTTGATGTCAGATAAACGCTTACCATATTAAGCTTCAATGCGCTTATGATCCATAAAGTTAATGCAATGTTTAGAAACACTAAAACCATGAGGAATATTAGTATTCCATAAAGAAGGTTCCTTCTCCAGCCTCTAAAAAATATTGAGGGCAGACATTTGTGGTTTGTTCGATTCTCATTGCCCACGTTTACAGTAGGAGCATTTCCTGTTGGCGTACTACCCCATCCTCGGATAGCATTATTACTGGTATCCGCTACGCTCATGTTTCGTGTCCTCTTCCTGGTTTAACGGACTTGCTGTGGTTCTGTAACAAAGGATTACAGCTAATGTCAATTAGATTCTAATAGCCACTCCATAATCTAAATTCAAGACATCCGCGTGTGTTTTGGTTAATCGGTTTATTATAATAGGTTTGTGTATTTGATAATGAAGCGAGTTATCTTAGTGTGTCGTTTGTCGTCTCGTATAATATAAATATTAAATATGTATTGTGTTGACATAAAAAAGGGTGCGTGTACTTATGTACGCGCGTAAGAAGTTATACTTTATTTTTATGAAATTTCTTTCTTTTTATTTTATTGAAATTTTAATCAATTTGAAAAAAAATCGATTAAACAACAACCTCAAACACACATATTGGACATCTCTTTTCTTGACATCGTATAAATTCGGTAATTCTCGGTACGGTTCGGAAAGTTCACCTGCGGCTATATTTAGACTCGCTAAGTTACGTCGGTCGTATTTTAATGAGCGATTTAGTGGGCAACTTCATTCTGTTAATTTTGTGTCACGGTGCGTGCGCATCGTAAATTTCCCTCTCATCAATTTTTCATAACGCGCTTAGAGAAGTATAACTTCAAAAAATTGCGGTATCCTTATAGTCATCCGGTATGATGGTTAATCATAATTAAGAACGGGTGGTGTAGTATTGAGCGTTCCTCGTTACTAAGCTTGGGTCGTGGATTCCCACTACGGACGAACTATCTTTTGACGAACAGATTTATTTTCTGAGGGTGATTAATATCTTATCATAATTTAACGTATAAGTATGTATATATTCCCGACAATTTATTTATTATATAGTTGCTTAAATTAAAAATATTTAATTTGTCTATACAAAAAAATTCTCCGTGTCATCTGTTATCGAAAATTAGAAATGGGTATCATCAAATTTGGTTTAATAAATTTGAGCGAGGCCTCCACCAACAGATCATAAATATATAAATCGGTTATTTTGAGTTGAAGACAGTTACATCAAATTCTCTCTTTTTTATATGATGTTAAACTTCAACTTTCAGACTTTTATTGGTGGTTATTATTTTCTGTAGAAACATCCTTTTCCAATACAATTAATCATAATAAATATTGATAAAGGAAAATAATGAAATAAAACTTGTCCAATATAGTTCAGCGGTGGTTATTTTTGTATTGTAATTTATTTTTCAGACATCTATCATAATGTTGTTGGTCGATGTTCTGGATTGGCGATTGGTTTGTTGGTACAAATAACTGTTTAATTACATAAATACTACAGAATAAGCCAAGCATGATTTTAAAATAAATAAAATGTAGCTTGGGGGTACTTATACAGTTTACCCCCCTTCTGTCCGTGCCCCCGCAAGGGGATACCACGACCCCTCTTCCTTATACAGTTTGATAATGATTTATGAAAAATAATGGTTATATGAAAAATTCATCTTTTTTTTTTTACCTAAGCTGATAGCCTTGGGTGGCTATTTCAGCGTAACCTTAACTAGTAAGTGAGCTCACGGGGCTCAAACCGGAGTGATGCTTACACTGACCCTAGCATGAGAAGTGAAATTCATCAATGTTGTACGTAGATAAACTTTCTTTCGACATTTGAATAAAACGCGAGTGCCCAATGCAGATTATGTTTTTATTTTTAAAAAAAATCGTCATGTGAAAGCACTGCGATTTTTCAATTAGTCGGCTTGTAATTGAATCGAAATATTGTACAAAACTTGACTTTAAAGCACCACTGTAGCGCTAATGAACGTAGCGAATGCGCGCCAACTAATGAATATAATACCAGTCTTCCGTAAATACCTTTCGATTCGGGTATCGTCTTTTATTAATAAAAAAAAAACAGTGAAATCAGCAAAAAAATTGACACTCATTTTTTACTTAAATTAGCAATTATTTTCATACGGACGAGTCGTAAGCTTATTCACCTAGTGAATACGATAAGATAAATCAACAATCTACTAGAAAAGATACAGTATTACTGTGCTGTAATCAATTTTACTTTCGTCGCGTTTAAAATTATTGTATACGTGTGTGTCAACAAGCAAATGGTTTGTGCTAATTAAATAATAAGCTTTTAAATAGTATTCGATAGTTTAAACATGTTTCCTTAATTAGATTTTTCAAACTCTGGGAGGTTATTCTAAAAACTAACTTAGTACTTATTGGGAAACAAATCGAATTGGGTTATGTGCACTAAAAATGGGAATTCAATATTTCAATGAAATGTGACGTTGAATCTAGTAATACAATTGAAACTAAGATTGCAATAACTACATTTATTTATATTTTTCACACCTGTTTGTGTAGATTATCATCAAATAAGTAGAAATATATAAAAATAATATTTGAAAACACTTTTATACTTGAAATGATTAAAAATTAAATGAGATAACTTTATATATTAAAACGATGCGGGCGGTTGCATCGAGCGTTCTCTGTGACTGAGTCTAGGTAAAGGCATAGGTGGTGGAAGCAGCACTCGAAATATCTGGCGCGAAGCGAGGTGAGGGAACGGCCGACGTGCTCCAGAATATAATATCAGGCGGTGGAGTGGCCCGCGTGACTCTCGGCCGTCGCCCGCCCTCAGCCGCGCCGCGCCGCCGACGGCCCTCATAATAAACGATATACTGCGAAAATAGCAACGGGACGGATATCGTTTAGTTTCTACGTAAATAAAATACCGACATTGCAGCTTCTCTCTTTCACGCTCGTCGTATTTATGAATGTCTAGTACTTGCGGTTCGCCGATCGATCTTGTGGACTGTCTTTGAATTTTATGTAACTTATTTTTGGTACATCATCACTTTTTTTCCGTTGACTTTTGTTCGAATTACCTGTTTTAAGCACTGACTTTAACCATTCACAGGATTTAAGACTTAACTGTGTTTGGGGGAACGAGTATGCCGTTCCGTCGTCACAACAAAACTGGGATCTGTATGCGCGAGCGACGCCGGTGGTCTCGGAGCCGAATCCATCTCGTTTTGAAGTTCTGCATTTTTAATCGGACGCCTGTCTCGCGCGGGACATTATTCCGCAACATTGTGGATACAGCTGGGCTCGTCTCTATTACGGATTCTATTTAACGTTAACGTGTCATTAACTGACACGTTCATATAAAGTCGTAAATAATTAAAACGGACGCGACCCTGACAAAGGATCTGACTTGTTGGTTCACCTGAATAATAATATACTTTGGTGGGCCGACTTTGAGAAATTAGAGAGATTTGGTTCAATTTTAGTTGTACATCAATAAAATTTAGAATATGGGTTTTGTATTTTTTAAATAAATATTATAGTCTTGAGAATGCTTCGTATTAAATAATTCGGAGAAGCCTTTGAAGATAGTTTGAAAAAACTGTACAAATAGTGTTAGGGTTCCCCGTAAAAGTTTACGCGTCCATAACGCAGTAAAGGACTAATAAACGAGAATATTTCATGGTATTCCTATTCGGGGCCTTTTAGATACAGCAATGAAAGAACATTGGATGTCACTGTATGTTTTCATGGAAGTTATTGCACTGATAAATGTGAGCCCCGAGGGATGACCACGAAGGCACTTTTTAGATAACTTACAGCAAAAGGTCAGCAGAATGAGATTTTGGGAAACTTGTGTCGTGATATCGTGTGGAGTTTAGCGCAAAAGGTCAAATATAATAGTCGTTTTAAAGACTTTCTACCACTGTATGGTTTTTAGTAAAATTAAACTACCTACGCACAGTGTGGTATGAAATTATGACAACTAATAATGGACTATCTATAAATATACGTTTTGATTCTTATAACCTTACTACGTTTAGAAAAATAGGATATTTGTAGAATATGAATATATTGTCTCGGGGCCTTGTTAATTTATTGATTGATGATATTTTGAATTTGAATATAAATTTTAATTATAGGCAAAATGCTTCAGTTTTTTATCTAAGAACCGAACGGTTAAGGAAAGCGAGCTTAAATCACATAGAAAGAGCAATACTAGTCAAAAAACCATGAGGAAACACATTTGGTTATTAAATTAAAAAAAACTGGAGTTCAGTTCTGAAAATTAAGTAGGTAAACATTGTTTAGTTCGAATCTTTTGCATTTTTAATTCTAAAATAATTGATGATGTGCAATTTTTTTTGACGGATATAGATGTACCTTCGTTATTGTTTAATCAATAAGCTAACTTTATGTTACAATAATCTAGATGCTGCCGAAGAATGAGAAACCAAAATATCAACTTTCTTATTTGTATTTTTGCTAATATGGAAATTTAAAATAGAGTTTAGTTATAATACATTAAGCTCTTCTCTCGTTTGTGAGATGGAAAGATCGCAGTTATTCTTGAATGTAAACGAAATTAACTCGAAGTGCATTTTCAAGTGTCCACCGCTAGTTGCCTGGTTGAATTGTCATTGTTAATAACATGGGCGATGTTGATACTCAAGTCATGTTTTTTTTAAATAAAATTTAGATATAGTAATATTATTCACTCTTTTTGTTGTAGGAAATTTCTTAAAATATGAAAGGTGTGTTTTATTTTACTTAAAAAAAATGGAAAGTAGTGGGTCACAGAATCTAAATGATAACAGATTATTTGAGCATTTATTTTTACGACTCATTTATATTGTAAGCTAACTTCGTAAATCTTAACTTCCTATTTTCTTTTTCTTTTTTTTTCTTTTTTTGATTACTTAGATGGGTGGACGAGCTCACGGCTCACCTGATGTTAAGTGGTTACCAGAGCTCATAGACATCTACAACGTAAATGCCGCCACCCACCTTGGGACATGAGTTCTAAGGTCTCCGTTTTTACAATACAACGGCTGCCCCACCCTTCACATCGAAACGCATTACTGCTTCACGACAGAAATAAGTAGAGTGGTGGTACTGACTCGTGCGGGTTCACAATACTTCTTACTACCAGTAATTACGCAAATTATAATTTTGCGGGTTTGATTTTTATTGCACGATGTAATTCCTTCACCGTGAAAGTCAGCCGTGAACATTATATATTAAGTACGTATTTCATAAAAAAAATGGTACACTCCTGCGGGATTCGGACACTGGTGCATCGCAAGGTACGAATGCACCGGATATCTTATCCTTTAGGCCACGGTGACTTCATTATATCTTATTTATTGGTGTATGTGAGTTTTAAGTAGCTATGACGAGTGACCTATTGTACCACACGTATTGCCATGACGCAATGATGTGTTCAAAAAAGATTTATTCACAAAGCTGTTTCAATAATGTCTACGATTCGAGAAGAAAATGCTAGTATTAAATGTGATGTGTCTCATTTTGGTTTAATTCAGGCAGTGCTCTCGCCCGATCCTGTTTTAGGAAACAATCCCCGTGATCCCCGCGTGATGCTGCATAATGTGCCCTCTGCCGGGCTACGTGTCTATTATCAATTTGAATAATACCACTCCATTCTTTAAAAAAAAAATTCATTAAATTTAAAAGAATTAATACACTGAAATTTTTATCTTAAATGATTATTAAATGATTTACTGTTTTCTATACCAAGCGCTTATTTTGTTTTTAAACAGCTATTCTCTGAAAAAATAATAATTTATTATTTATTATGAACCTTAAAACTTAAGAAATTGGTAGTGAATATTATCGCAACCTCAAAAAACCGTTCTGCTTACAGTAAACACAGTCGGTAGCCTGGCGCTCCGTTTACAACGGGATTTTTGAACGGAACTTGGCACCAGATTCTACCGAATCTGTGGATAAGGATAGGTCTTGTCAGTCGAGAGCCGTAGACAAAATATGGCATTGCCGATGTTAAAATTTAATTCATACAGACTGTAGGACAGTAGTAGCCGTCTGGGATGGATGGAGTTTCAAGTTAAAATTATATTTGGGTCAGTGACTTTGATTGTCGTGCTATAGCGTGTGTGTTCAATTTCTGACTCGAGTAAGTAGTTTTGATACTCGAGGACTCAATGTGATTAGTCTTTTGTTTCGTATGTGTATGTTTACAGCACTCAATAAACAAGAGAAACGTCATTTTACACTGTTTTAACGCGGAATTTACAATTAAGTGAGACATTGCCTTTAGAACTGCTGGCCTGACGAAATCAGCTTGAGAGCATAGATACAACGTAAACTATGCTTTGATGCTTTTATTTCTTTCTTTACTTTTAATTTTAGTAAATTAAGTTAATATTATTTAATTCATATTATTAAGAAGTTTATCATCTAAATAATTAATATTATTAACTTAATTAATTAATACATTAATTGCATTATTACATTTAAATATTTAGAAATTAAAGACACTGAAATGAACAGCCGCCATTGTCGAACTTATATAACTTGGTTAATGCCGTGGTCCTTTGAAAATTGAAAAACTTTTGCAACGCCTTGTGTCCTTATGGAACTAGTTTGCGTTCACATTTAAGTGAGTTGTCATTGTGAGGATTCTCTTTCTTGTTCCAGTTATGAAACCTTCTGACTTACATTTAAATAAATTATTTTTTTAAACTACGATTCGTTTATATATTTCCTTGTTATATTTTAATTACCGACTTATTTTTTTTATTGCATAAATGTCGGATAACGACCTCATGGCCTTTGGTGTTAAGATCTCATTATAGTTACAGCGGCTGCCCCACCATTCAAATCGAAACGCATTACTGCTTTACGGTTGACATAGGCAGGGTGGTGGTTGGTATCTACCCTTGCGGACTCACAAGAGGTCCTACCACCAGTAATTACGCAAATTATAATTTTGCGGGTTTGATTTTTATTACACGATGTTATTCCTTCACCGTGGAAGTCAATCGTGAATATTTGGTAAGTACGTATTTCATTCGAAAAATTGGTACTCACCTGCGGGATTCCGCTACACATGAATGCACCGGACGTTTTATGCTTTAGGCCACGACGACATCACAAGGTGGATGCCGCCATCTATTCTTAAGACATATCTACGCTAAATTTTTTCATTATAAAACTGATAACCGGCTGCGAGATTTGAACACCGGCATAGTCGCTTAAGTCTTGGCATTCTGGAAACTGTTGAAAGGTCCAACTAAGCTAAGAGCTCGATCGTAGGACAATTTCCAGAATCATCTTGTTGATGTGTATGTTTTCTTTAGTACTAGGTACTAGCTTTCTGCNCTATTCTTAAGACATATCTACGCTAAATTTTTTCATTATAAAACTGATAACCGGCTGCGAGATTTGAACACCGGCATAGTCGCTTAAGTCTTGGCATTCTGGAAACTGTTGAAAGGTCCAACTAAGCTAAGAGCTCGATCGTAGGACAATTTCCAGAATCATCTTGTTGATGTGTATGTTTTCTTTAGTACTAGGTACTAGCTTTCTGCAACTTTGCCTACATGGACTTACATGCATTATATTTATATTATTGTATTCGCAACGGATTGTGTGACAAGCGTACTCGGCCGAGTGAGGTAGCCTATATTCTTTCAAATATATGGCTATAATCTTTCTGAGTTTAAAATATTTCATCAAATTCGATTCAGTGGCTTAAAAGTGAAAACAACAAACACAGTCACTTTCGTGTTTATAATATTATTTGCTAGGTCAACAGTTTTAAAGTAAATTTAAAACATCTTTAACGATATTTTTTCATCATCAACAACATTTCAGTAAAACAAAGCCTATATTTCAATTTATTATCTGTCTACTTGTCAAATTTACATGACAATTCGTCCAGTCGTTCCGGAGAACTCCAAAATTCGCTACCACAAGCCTGTCCGCTATCTGCTTCCAACGTATTCTTACGTACTTAGGTCACATCGTTCGTAGAGGTTCCGATAATTTAGAAAAGTTGGTGGTAGTTGTTCAGGTTGACGGGAGAAGATGACGCGGACGCTCACCTACCCGCTGGTCTGATTTGGTAAAAATGCTCCCCCGCCTGCCAATAACCGAGGCTATAAAGACCATCGAGGACAAAATGTGGCTAATCT